CAATGGAGGGGCTAACAATGTTCAAGAGGAAGTGTACTCATTACCTCACTCATGTAACTGTAACCCTCTGTATAGTATCTTTACAATAAAAAAAAAAAATAGATTTTAACGCCCAGCTGGGGAAGTGAATTTAGGAATATCTTACCAAATGTCTTCTACAAGAGGAAGGAGGCTGCCATTTGTGTTTTCTATTTGGTGGTGGTGGTGGTGGTAAACAGCTAAAAGGTTACAAGCAGCCAAAGACATCAACAGCTCTGTCTCAAGCTAACACAATTTTTTTTCCAAAAGCCTAAGAAACAGTCATGATTAACCTTCCAATTGTCCCCATCTTTCCCAGGATGCTTTGGAAAAAATTCTCCATCCTGGGCAAATTGGGATAAGCAGGCCCATCCTGTAAACACCCACCCATCTTTGGGCTGTGATGACATTTTACCATCAACTGGTCTATGGTGAAACAAGTTGGTTGGTTTCTAACCTGTCACTTTCTAGTTCTGACTGGGGTGAGAAATTGAACCGGAACTTTTCACACATCATCTCCCCAGTAATTCGGTATTACCACAAAACACACAACCAAACAAAAAAAAAACCAGGCATCTAAAATAATAACCACTTTCGTTAGAGTTTATTACATAAAACTCAACTGGAAAACATTCATTCTCTTTAGCAAAAAATGTGTGTGGGGGGGGAGGGTCCCCTTTGCTTTTTAAATTTTTATATCCACGTTCTTGTGACACTTCCCTTTGTAGAGAACAGGAGGTGAACAAAATCAGCTGCTTAGATGTTTCCATTGACAAGAGACATCTTAAACCATCAAAACAAACCGGTGGGGAGTGATGAAACATTCAATCATACTGTTGTGTCTAAACAATCATAAATAACAAAAGACGGGCTGTATTTCCACCCTGCCCAATCCACAGCGCTGCTTTCTCTCCTCTCCAGGGTGATTGGTTGGTTTAAAGAACACAGAGCTTTGGAGGTGACCTGCCAAAAGCCCTGCTCCTGGGTGACCCAGCACTTAGAAACTGAAGACCACAGCTCATACTGGTTAAAACCCCTTGGGGTATTTCCTCGAATGCTTGCATTCCTACTTGGAGCTGGAAATTGAGATTTACAACATTTATTTTCAAAAAGAAACAGAAGAGGACCTGACATTAATAACTTGCTCAGATCATGAGCGTAAGTTCACCAGCTAAGGAAGGACTGGCCACACCTACGTTGGCCCACTTAGACTCCTAACAGACCCCTTAACATCTGGTCATTACACAAGCCGTGGAAATCGGTTAGTCAAACACCACTGCCAGTTATAGCTAAAGAAATCAGCATGTCTTTGACCATATTAAAAATGGCACCTCTGAAATCCACTCACCTGTATATCAGGGTGATAATCACTAGCTCCAATCAAAGATGGGAAAGAAAGGTCAAGCTTTGGACTTAAGTCATCTTCCTTTCTACACCTTGAGTTGTGATCCTCCCCCCCCCCCATAGACTGCCTGAGAATGCATGCTATACTCCCCTCTCTAACCTGCCTGCCTCCCTCCCTAACGGAGAGCTGATAACGGGACCCAGGGGATGTCACCTGCGCCAGGATGCAGAGGGGCCTCCCATGCCATAGCCCTACCACTGTCCTCATAACGTACCTGAAAGTTGTGTCAGTTCGGATCCTTCCTTCCCAGCGCATGGCGGTCAGGCCCACCATCCCGGGAGAAAGCTGCTGCTCTAGACTAAAACGATGCTGTGCTGCTAGAGAGGCTATTTTTAATGCGATGCTACACCCTTTAAAGACGGGAGCTAGGAAACTGCACTCCCCATGTGTGACGAGAAATGAATCCAAACGAACCTGCCTATCCTAATTTCATCTGCACAGTGACACACATCGGGAGACTCATATCTGCGGCCCATGAGCGGGGGAAGAGGGCCTTTGTCATCCTTCAGGGCCCATCCTGGGGGCTCTTTACCCCCCCCACACACACACACTGCATGATTTGTGTGGAAAGTGCAGAACATGCCCATGAAGTTGGTGTGAAGGAGTTGTTTCCCCTTTGTTCTTCAGGCTCAGAAAGACTTTCATCCCATGGAGGGGGGAGGTGTTCAGAATGGCTTCTTTGAAGGTCACCATCCACTTCTTTTCTTCTTCTTTTTTTATAATGTGCATGTACCAGTACTGGGTCTTGAACTCAGAGCCTGACACTCTTGCTTTTTAGTTCTTTGTTGTTGAAGACTGGCACTGTACCATTTGAGCCACACCTCTACTTCTGGCATTTTGTTAGTTAATTGGAGATAAAAGTCTCTTAGATTTGTTTACTCTTAGATTTGAACAGGAATCCTCAGATCTCAGCTTCCTGAGTGGCTAGGATTACAAGCATGAGTTGCCATCTGGGTAGCAGCTCTACACTCTCACTGCTGAATGGGGAGTCCTGTTCTACTGCTGAAGGCTAAGGCTCGGAGAAGCTCAAGTTCAAAGACCTTGACAGTCGTTGGCTACTCTAGAGCTTAGGTAAGAGCAGGAATGGAGTGTTCAGATAGGAGTACTTCCTATGACCCAACATCATGACGAAGAAGCTATAAGCCGTTCCCACCCTCCCCCACCCTGAGAAGAACCTCTATGAACACAGCAGGAAGGTAGATTCAAAAGGCCACATTAGACTACAGCAGTCCGCTCCACAAACTTTTTTTACACATAGAAAGCAATTCACTCCAGCCTTTAAAATGAATTTAAATCTCTGAAAAGCTGTCTCCCAAAGAAATCATTTGGTAGATACTTGTAACATACAGTATTGCTTATTTTACATGATTTCTTTTTTGAAAAGACACAGAAAAAGAGAAAAAGGTATTTTCCCTTAAATGTTAGTTTATTATTTATGACTATTATTTCACATTTAGCACATGCAAACAAGAATCTACTCTTGAATATATATTATTTCAATCTGGTTAAGGTTAATGTGGTAGGCATCTTGTTTATAGGTAATTAGAGCTTCAAACAGTTGCAAACTGTTTCTGTGACTGGGTGAGAAACTCCACACAAGTGGGGAGAAAAACTCAGAGAAAGGTGGATTTGTTGTTGTTGTTTGTATTTGTTTTTTTTTTTTTGCCAGTCCCAAGGTTTGAACTCAGGACATTTTACTTGTTTGCCACACCTTGAAACACACCTCCAGCCTAGCCTTTTGCTGATTATCTTGGAGCTCAGGCTGGCTTCTAATCATGATCCTCCAGATCTCAGCCTCCCTGAGTAGCTAGGCTTATGGGCATTAACTATACGTCACCAAGTTGGAAAAGGCAACTTTTTTAAAAAAATTAAAAAGACTAAGAAATATTTTGTAAAAGTTCCAATAGGAAAATGAAATTCCAAAGCCCTTAAGGGCACAAATTACCCTTGGAACCTTTACGGATTAAATCTGAAGTGAACTTGACATTGCCTGGAGTTCTCCAAAGAAAATGGAGAGAGAGGAAGTTTTGATCGTGAGCCTCTTCCCATGTCATAGATTAAGGGAAGTCTTTTAGCCGTGTCGGCACGCCTCCAAACAAGATGCCAGGTAGATCAGAACATGTCAGTTTGTCAGAACCAATGTCCATCACTCTCCTCCTCCCCCTCCTCCTCATTGTCTAGATAGAGGAGGGCCACTTTCTTTTCATCCGAAACCACCGACCTTTGGTCTACGATTCTTTGTAGCTGCACCATCTTGTCAAACCCAGCCTGCTCTGCCCCCTGCTCTGCAGGGGCCTGGCGCTCATCCCCAACAGAAGGCTGAAAGCTCCTGCCCGCTTCTTGATCGTCCCTATTGCCTGTGGCTCTCCAGCTACCAGAGTCAGAAGCGTCTGCTTCCATCTTTGCCCCTGGGGTTCGGCTGGGGCTCGCCCTTGCGTTATTCAGGTCCACCTGAAAGGTAAATGAAGTTTCTTTGGGCCCCAGTGCAATGGGAGTTAGTGGGCTATGACTGTCATCTCCCCCGCCTAGCTCTGAGGAGGCCACTGCACCACCACATGTGGATGTCTTGGACACGGACCCGTGGCTGACTATGTGTTCAGAGGTTTTAGTTTCTGCGGGACCTAGCCGAATGTGCCTGGAGGACACTGCTGTGCCTGCGACCCCTGCTCTCTGCCCCCCTGGAGATTCAGAAATGAGCCTCTGGAATGTTCTCTGTTCAGTCAGGAGCACTTTCCTACCAATGTCATGACCCTGAGTGGCCAGGATGGCGTCTGCTGAACCCTCTCCGTGGAAGGTGCACCCAGAGTCACTAAATTCCACCGGCTGGGAAACTATCTCCTCCGTGGTAACGTGAGTCACGGGTGTGCTGTTCCCTGGTGACTCCTCTCTGGTCCCCCATCCCACTTGGTTGGGGAGGGGGGCTATGAACTGGATTTCCCCCCTGAACCCTTCTTTGGGGCCTAACTGGAGGTGCCTGACAGAAGAGTGAGTACCCACTGACTCTTCCACTTCCAAGTTACCCCCAACATTGGCTGACCCAGAAAAGGGACCTTGAAAGTGAATTTCCTTTTCAGTGTGGAACTGCTGGAAACCATAGGGGCTGTGCCTTCCAGATGTGTCAACATCTGCAGACTGCCCGGCCAGGCCAGGCTCTTCCAGGTCAGGACCTGGGAAGATGACTTCCGGTGCTAACTGACTTTGACCGGAAGCTGAGGGAAAGAACCTCATAGAGCTGCTGGCACCCACTGAGCTGCCTGCTGGCCTCAGGTCCCCACTTACCTCTAACACCTCTGCACCAGCTGCTCCATGGGAGACCCGCTCGGTCCTCCAGACGGCAGTGGGGCCTAGCTTAACGTGCCTCCCAGACTGGCTGATATCCTCTACCACGTGAGATTGCACAAAACCCCGTGGGCTGCTGACTTCCACAGTGGCTGACACTGGGCCCTGGACGGTGGGCCGGTCAGTGCCGTGAGAGGCCTGGCTGGTGTCATCCCACTCACCGGATGGGCTATACAGTTCCCTGGTGGCCCAGCGCTTGAAGCGAATGCCCCCCACTGGCACCTCTGTCCAGTCCTCACTGTCCGGGCTGCCAGCTGTCCGGCTGGGTCGCTTGATCAAGCTCTCTCTGACCACTGCCTCGACCGTCTTTTCTATTTCCCCAGCATCATCTCGGCTCAGCTCCTCCAGGTCCAACTCGTCGGCATCCACGGTCTGTGACAGGTTGACCTCCGCGACTAAGGTCACGGCCCCGCCCCCGGAGGTGTGGACTTTCTTCACGTCCACCGACATGCTCCCTGGCTCGCCCTGGCCCTCCTTGGTGAGGGCGGACAGCTCCTCCTTCATGCGCTCTGGAAGGGTTTCCTCCAGCTGCCCAATCACCTCCACCAGCTCATGCCGGGGCTCCTTGGAGAAGACACGCTTAATGGAGGTGTGGAGTTCGTGGGGTATTTTGATTTCTTTCTCGATGACTGTGGGCTCTGCGTGTACTTCACCACTAGCTTCTTCCTTCCAGTGGGCGGAACCCAGGCCACCCCCTAAGGGGGGAGCCAGGATATCCACAGCTTCCACATCCCTGTCCTTCTCACCTGTCACGTGGCCCCTCTTTCTCCGACAAGTGCCCTGCACAATCTCGTCTTGCCAAGAGTACCTGATGGTAGACTCTTCTTCAATGTGGATCTGCCCATACACCGAGCCTTCGTCCTTGTCTCTGCCAAGCCCCCCAGGGTGCTCCTCGGGGGTCGACACAAAATAACTCTGCTCTCCCTCTGAGTCACCTGCCTCTGTCACTTCTTCCACGAGAGGTCTGTTTTTCCAGGCCTGCTTGGTCTTTTCAGGTTGGCGATCAGAGAATGGGACATCCGTCGTCTCTCCCTCCTCCTCCTCTTCCTCGACAATCCCCATGGAGCTGGGAGTCATGTCATCAGCCTCCTCCACTTGAAAGGGGGTGGGGGACTCCCCACCACCTATGTAGCTCATGGGCTCTTCCACAATCTCCACATTGACCACCTTTGCCTTCCCCTCCCTTCCTTGCAACCCCAGATTGATTATGTCTCCTATCATCTGTTCGGTCGATTTCCCCTTCAGGCCCACGTCCTTGACATTCTGGCTCAGAAGGTAATCTAGGCCGGCTTCTTGAGAAACATCTACGTCTTCCCTCAGTTTGGATTCCACGACTATTTCCGTCTTGGTTTTCTTGCCACCAGGAAGCTCCTGCCTGCCCACAAAAGTGACTTTTGTGTCTGGGAAAGAATCGGCAGATACTTCTGCATCGGGAGACTGGGTGAACTGCTGGAGGATACTGGTGACAATGTTTTCAGCGATCGTTTCGGTCATGGAATCACCTGGCAGAGAGCTGGCGGTGTGCCTGGTGTCCAGCCTGAACCTAGTTTCTCTTTTTACCGCCTCCGTGTCCTGGCTGTCACCTGCATCCTTCTTCCTGAGTGTCTGGAGACCTTTCACGGACACTTCCGGTCGGGTGACCTGGGATGTTTCTAGAGTTATTGGGATCTCTCTTCCTTTGTCATCTTTCTCCTTCAATGCTTCCTTCCCTGTGGCTTTCTCTCTCAACTGCTGGCTTTCTCTCTTTCTCGCTTCTTTATCCAACTTTGTTAGTTCTTCCCACCTTAAGTTTCTCTCCTCGGATGCCTTCTCTTTAGAATCGAACATTTTCCTTTCTGGTTTTATCTGGACAATTCCTGGTCTCTCTCGTTCCTGTTCCTTGGTGGTTTCCACTTCTATTTTCTTTCCCAGAATGACACTCCTCTCGTGTGACCGAGCACGCTCCCCGGCTCCCGTCCTGCTGTCTCGGCCCTCACGGAGTGACTCGTGGGCCGAATGAGCAAGGATGTCTCTGGTACCTTCTGATTTCGGTCTACTAGGGAATGTTTTCACGTAAGCATCTGTATCTCTTCCAAGACCGAGGGTTGGAGAGACAGTTCTGAAACTGGTCTGACTCTTGATGGTTTTTTCATAAGCGTTTTCCTGCAGGGTGGTAGCGGAGGAAGAATAGCCTGGGGTCAGGACTCCTCGTGTGGCTGCACTTCTGACAGGTGTGGCTGTCTGGGACCCCAGGTACCTGACTCCATTGGAATATAGAGCCGAGCTGTGATTTACAGATGCCAGGGGTGCTTTCTGTCTTAGAAGCAGATTTCTTTCATTTTTCCTCTGTAATAGTGAGTCAGTGTAGTGGTAGGATGTGTTTCTGAAATCTGCAAGAATGGAATGGAAGAGTTCGTTACAAGGATAGGCATCATTATCTTTTATGCATCTTAAAAGTCTACTGGGTGTGGTGGATCATACCTGTAATCCCAGCTACTCAGAAGCTGGAGATTAGGAAGAATGCAGTTTGATGCTAGTCCAGGCAAAAAGCAAGGGAGACACACCCCCTCCCCTACAGAAGTATGTGAAAACTTAAGGCCTGATAGCAAAGTTCACAACTAGAAATCTTGATCATAGCTTCTTTCTCGGGCATAGTATGCAGCTGTGAAAGTAGATTTAGTTTGCAAATATAAGGTCTTCACAACCCTTTAAGAAGCTTGAAGACTGCCAGCACCAGTGGCTCACGCCTATAATCCTAGCTACTCAGGAGGCTGAGATCTGAAGATTACAGTTTGAAGCCAGCCCAGGAAGAAAAGTCTGTGAATCTCTTATCCAATCTACCAGAAAAAAGTTGGAAGTAGAGCTGTGGCTCAAGTGGCAGAGCACCAGCCTTGAGCACAAAAAGCTCAAGGACAGCACACAAGCCCTGGGTTCAAGGGCCAAGACTAGTAGAGAGAGTGAGAGAGAGAGAGAGAGAGAGAGAGATCACATCTATACTGAACATGAGCAGACTGTCTTCTTGCCGTGAAGTTAGTCAGCTTTTCTTACATTTATTTACCTTGTGGCATGTTGGCAACTTCCTCTGTCCAGACGATTATCTCCGGATTGCTTTCTCCTTCCAACAAGGCTCTGCAAAAATATTTCTGAAGTCATTAAAAAAGCCATTGAAAATGGAAGATTGCGCCTCTATTATAAAATATCCTAGACAGTATTGGCCAGTGAGGACACTGTCACAATGCCATGAACTGTAGGGAGAGGTGGCTGGGCCTGGGGCCGCAGCTCAGGGCTGCAGCTGCTCCCCACCCCTGCCCCGCTCCACTGCTCTGCTCCCTGCCAGGTCTCTGGAACCCACACAGAGGTGCTTGCCTGGCAGATGCCCAACAGATACGAGCAAAGTGAGGAAAATGTGTGGGCCGTGGATGTATGTACAGAGAACCCCACCCGCCCCAGGAAGGGCAGGCACCAGGTGGCACTGATGAGATGGGCTGAGGAGGGGAGATCTTGCTTCTCTGGGAATCAGTGCTCAAGTCAGCACTCTACCTGCTACAGCATCCCGATACAGCTGCAGCCCTCCACCAGAAATCACAGGGGAATTTGGGAGCGGCAGCCTGCAGAGCTGATGGAGCAGAGTGGGGTGTGGCATTATTGCTCCAAGTTGGGCAGTTGGGCTGCATCTGTGGTTTTCAAACTGGAGTCTATAGGAATATACTGTGTGTGTGTGTGTGTGTGTGTGTGTGTGTGTGTGTTATGCTAGAGTTGGAATCTAGAGACCTGCACAAGCCAGGCAAGTGCTGTACCACCAAGCTATAGTCCCAGACCTATGAAGATATTGTGGAGATGAAAAAGAAAAGAAGAGAAAAGAAAAGAAAAGAGACAAAGGCAAGTAGGTTAAAAAGGAAAAGGAAGAACTAGAGACCCCCAGTACACACACACATACACACACACAAAATGTTGGGAAGTACCCGTCTGGGTGGCTTCTTCAGCTATGCCTAACTCCAACATTTTGAAAGTATCATCATTCTCCAGACTTTGGCATTGTAAAAGGAGTGGCCTGAAGGCCACAGCGTGGTGCTGGAGTCGGAGCCCTGGGGTGTCCATCAACAGGGTCCCTCCCAGAGACCTCAAGGCCGCCAGAGGCTGTGAGCTCTGTGGTTTCGTTGCTAGAGTAACAAGGGCGTCTGTTAAGTCCAGCTCTGAGAAATATACAGTGAATGGCAAAGGGTATCCAGAAGCACAGCCCACTGGGAAATGCTGGTTATTACCAGCGAGAGCCAGGCAGGAAAACAGAAGAGGAAGCCTAGATCCCCGCCGGGGCTTGGTGACTCAGGCAAACCATACAAAGGCTTATTTCCACTGAGATGATGATTCCCAGATGATGCCCACAGAGGCAGGACCCTCCTGCAGGCAGCTAAAGGAAAGGCAAAAAGCCCACAGGAGCTGGGCATGGGAGACTCATGCCTGTAATCCCAGCTACTCAGGAGGCTGAGATCTGAGGATCACTGTTCTAAGCCAGCCTGAGCAGGAAAGCCCATGAGACTCATCTCCAGCTAACCACCACAAAAGCCAGAAGTGGAGCTGTGACTCAAGTGGTAGGGCACTAGCTTTGAGCACAAAAACTCAGAAACAGTGCCTAGGCCTCAGGACTAGCACACATAGACCACACACACACACACACACACACACACACACACACACACACACACACACACACACACACACACACACACTCTGTATCTGTGTGTCTGTCTCTCTCACACACACAGTGCTCAAGGGGGTGCATTTAGAGGGCTGGCCACATCAGCAGTGACTAAAATGCACCCATGTGGAAAGACCAGAGGCGAAGGCCAGGGCCTCAGTCCTTCCAGTCAGGATGGAGGCCAGGAAACACAACACCCGTCCATTAATCCCACACCCTCATGACCAAGCAGTTTGGGTGCCAGGAGCACAAATAGCTTCCATCGCCAAGAAACCTCTGAGGCCTGTGGAGTAAGTGGAATGCTCTGAGCAGCACCAGCTCCACGGACGTGCACCCAGGACCGCTGAGGTAGCATCCTACAGCCAGAGGCCGGAACACAGCAAGGACAGAGGGCCAGTCACCACTCAGATCCTGCTCAAAGCAAGCCTCAGGTGCCATAAGCCACGTGGAACAGGCTCCCTGAGTCAGGACAGAAGACCTTTGGCGGGGAAAGGCCCCAGGGACTCAATGAAATCTGTCTGCCCACCATCCCACAGGGAATCGTTCTGCTCCTGTCTCCCTAAATCAAAGCAGCTCCAAGCTTCTACAGAGCCAGGCTCCTGAGTGGGGAGCCAGCTGGGGTGTGTGGTCTGGAGGAAGAATGAAACCCAGCCCTAGCCTCTCCCTCCAGCAGGGCTGGCCCTGCTCAGCTCCTCCTGTCTACCTCATATCCATGTGCTTACAAGAGCCAGGCTGCCCCCAAAGGGCCTGGCCTCCACCAGCAATGCAGGGGGGAAGCCTGGAGAGAGTTCTTCACCAAGGGCCCTGGGCTTGCTGGAATCCTCACAGCCTGCCCTCCCACGCTCTCCCCTGCCAGGTTGCAAGACTACCGTGAGGCCAGGGATGGTGGACATTGCATCCGAACGTCACAGCATGAATCCTGCAGGCAAGGCCTTCATGCCAGATTCAGGAAGAAAAATGCCATCTGCTGGATGTCACCCTAAATGTCCCTAACCACTCCCAGTCCCTCATCTGTGCCCTACCAAGAGCTAGACCCCACAAGGCAGAGCGCATGTCACCGGAACACCCAGCACCAGGCTTGAAAGGCACCCCTGGAGTGCCTGTGTGCCTGGAGCCAAAGGAACAGATGCACCCAACTTTTTTGGTTTTGGTTTTGTGCTGATTCTGGGGCTTGAACTCTGGGGCCTGGCTCAGCTTTTTCCACTCAGAGCTGGGAGCTCTACCACCTGAGCCTCGCCTCTCGTTGGGGCTTTTGTGCTGGTGAATTGCAAAGAAAAGTCGTGTAGAATTTTTCCACCGGGGCTGGCTTTGAACTGATTCCCCAGATCTCAGCCTCCTGAAACAGTAGAGGATTGAGAAACGGGAGCCTGCTTTAGATGCGGCCAACTTTCAAGAAATACAGGGAGCGTGCTCAGAGGCTCCCACCAAATCTGGCTATTTTGAGAGCAATGGAGGAAAACTGCCCCGAGGCCACAGAGAGAGAAATGCCAACCTCCTGAATCACAGGCTATTAGTGAGCATTTCACGCTGTTCCACAGGCTGGCAGATTGTCTAGCAGGCAAACCAGAGAAGTTATGGGAAAACCCAGTTCCCTGGTTTGGACTCCCACACAAATCCACAGAACAGAACTGAGCAGTAATGTGGCCTCTGGCCAGGTCCCAGGCTTTAATGGCCCACCCGGCGTCCTAACCAGCCCCACACTGGGGGCTGTCTGTCTAGGATAGATGATCCTAATGGAACTTCGTGGTATATCCGCTGTTGCTTGGCACGGTGGGATGCCAGGCCACCACACAGAATACCTCCCAGAAATGAGGGCAAGAGGGAGGGGAGAGGCAGGCAGAGGATGCTTCCAGAAGGGACACCTGTGTGGAGCTTGCTGTGGTTCCAGGGGCCAGGGCTGGTTCCCGTGGCATTTGCCTGCAGGTGTGGAGCTCTGAGTAAAAGAAGGGAGGCTACAGGATGCATCTGCCTCTCTGCGCCTCTGCATGGAACACATGGAAGGTGTGTCCACAGAGGGAGCCTGGCTTACTCCAGACTTTTGTTTTTATTCTACAGCTGGTTGGTCACATGAGGTACATCACAGGATGGGGAGGTAGGAGAGGAGAGACAAGCCAGGCCTCTCCTTCCCACAGGCAACATCAGGACCTGAACCTTGAAGGGTCAGAAGGGCCACAGATTCAGATAAAGAAGAATCCAGTGACGCTGCTGATCTCTCTCATGTTCATTTGGAACTCACATCCCCAATGCCATCTCTAGGTCAATACTAGAAACTGGGGGCCGAGGGGCGGGGACGGGCAAAAAATTATGATCAACAGAGAGACAAAGGCTGTTCTGCTATTCCTCAGAACATGAACAACGAAGCTTTGCCAGGGGCCAGAGACACTGGAAGATCTCATTCCCATGTTCACCTGCCAGCCAGGGCTAGCCTGCCATCCACAACGTTGGATGGAAAGCTTCATTCTTGAACTCTTTGATGTTTTCCTGGTTTTCATTCTATAATATCTTACTTACTCTATCAAATTCTCTGTTCATTTGTAAGTGAGAAGCCTGTATTTAGAAATCATGTTTCAATATTCTGTAATGATTTATGTTTCTCCTGTGAAGGCTGTAGGAAAAGTAACCTATCCAGGCTGGGAAAGAGTTCAGACCCATTGAGAACTGGCCTTGCTCGCAGATACACTGCAGCACAAAAACCCAGTGCTGCAATTGATGCTATCAGGGTATGGAAGTAGCAGGATCTTGATCCATGGCTGGGCACAGACACACACACACACACACACACACACACAGACACACACAGACACACACACACACAAAGTGAGACTTGATTTGCAGAATAATGAAAGCGCAAAGGACTGGATGTGTGGCTCACGCAAGGTCCTGAGTTCAAAACCCTGTTAATACTAAAACAAACCGATAAACAAAGCCAAACAAAAATCTGCAGCAAATATGCCTTACAATTTCAACAGCCATCGTCCTTTTCCTTTCTTCTATAAAAGATATTCAATCTAATGAGTCCCAGGACAATGACTGTCAACAAAGCAGTTTGTGTGGTCATGGCCACCACAGGGAAAGCCAGGTGGCAAATCAGCGTGAAGCCACTAGGGGGAACAAGTCTAGCCTCGTGGAGCTGATTGTCCTCGGTAAGACAAGGGTAAGAAGGAGGCCGACTTGCTTAAAGATGGTGGGTCATAGTTTGCAAAGACTACGCGGCATCAGATCATACACTGACATAAACACGAGTTTCCACCCCTGCTCTTAGAACCTGAGCCACAGCACAGACTACGGGGGAAAATAATCAAACAAAACACATTTATATAAGGAAATGAGTTAGGCTATTTAACCATCTATATACATCTTGGGTGGCAGGAGGTCTGGGGCGATGCTAGCCTTCCGACCCAGCCACCTGTACCAAGACTGGGCCAAGAATCATCTCAGGTTCCTAGCATAGCTCATTCCCCACCCCCACACGCCCCTGAGAAGCACAGAGACTTCTAAGTCCACAGGACATGGCCTGGTCAATCCATCACCGAAGCAGACAGGAACAATTTGCTCTGTCCCTGCCCACAGTCTGGCTTCTGGCCTCCAGCAAAAATGGCTCCCAGTCAATGTGAGCTCCTGGGAGAAGCTAAGCGGCTTCAGTAGGCTGTGAGCGCCCCGCAGCAAACGCAGGTCCTGACCTCGCACATAAGTGCCTGCTGAGCACTCCTGGCTTTTTTAGGATTGAGAACGAGAGGCCAGGCCCAGTGACGGAAGGAAAGGTCTGGACATTCCAGAGAGACAGAGAACAGAATGAGTCTCCATTCCAAGCCAGAGAGCCATTACTGTAAGGTCTAGCCTGGGGCGCGGGGGGGGGGGGGGAGGCAGACTCCTTCCTCCTCTTGGCTAAGTCTCCGCCCAGTACTTGTGTTACCTAGGTAACTGGCACACCTGGGCTGCCCCCATCACTCCCAACAGACTGTGGGAGGGTCCCAGGCCCTGAGGTCACATCTGTATCCAGTTGTGACTACACCTTCCCTCACCTGACCACACCTTCTCCCCGCCCCTTCCCTACCTAAACCCAGGTTGGACCTCAGCCTGAATACCAAGTGGTGTTCTCTTGATTGGCTACCTGATTAGAACTGGTAAATTTAATTTACCTTACAATTACAAAAAGGAAAAGGAAAGAAAATCCAACTCCCTCTGTGGGGACTAGATGTTCTAACTTGAGGTGTTACTAACACAGGCCCATCCCACCCACCTTGGAGAAATCTTCTCTCGAATGAGAGCTTCCAGAAGGAGATCACCTCTAGTCAAAAATCAATGGCCATGCAGGAAAAGCAAAGGCCACCCCAACAGGGGACAGCCGGCTGTGGAGAACTGACTGCCTCTGTGCCCTGCTCAGTGCCCAGCCCCTTCAAAGGCCCTTAGGACCTTCCCACCATCAGAAATGGTGTGGATAACCCAATACGTAAACCAGATGCCCAAGACCTCCATGGTGAGCTCGTGACACAGAGCAATAAGGAGAGTCTGTGCGCAGCCATTTGAAGCAATGGCTCAACAGGTAGATGGATGTCCTGAGTCCTGATCCTCCCTTCCTTCCTTCCTCCCTTTCTTCCTTCCTTCCCTCCTTCCTTCCTTCCTTCCTCCCTCCCTTCCTTCCTTCCTCCCTTCCCTTCTTTCTTTCTTCCTTCCTTCTTTCTCTCTCTCTCTTCCTCCCTCCCTCTCTCTTCCTTTCTTACTTCCCTCCCTATCTTCATCTCTTCTTTCATTCCCTCCCTCCCTTCCCTCTTTCTTTCTTCCTTCCTTCCTCCCTCCCTCTCTCTTCCTTTCTTACTTCCCTCCCTCCCACCCTTTCTCTGGGGCTTGAACTCAGAACCTGGGCACTGTCTCTGAGTTTTTATACTCAAGGCTAGTGCTCTACCACTTGAGTCACAGCTCTACTTCTGCCTTTTTGGTGCTTACCCAGAGATAAGAATCTCATGGACTTTCTTTCCCCTGAACCTCAAGCCTCAGAACTCAGCCTCCTGAGTAGCTAGGATTCTTATTCTACTTTCTAGACTTCCACTTTCTAGTTCTGTAACGCCCCTTGGCTATGTTTGTTCACCTGTAAACACAGCTTCTAACTCCCAGGATCCAATGAGTTGGCGCATACAAAGCCCTTGAACTGTAATCCAGGACACAGAATCAGTAGAGGAGGGTGCCCGGCTCAGCGAGTGCTGTGGCTGGGAGGTGGGGGGTTGGGGATCCTCCAATGGGATCTGAGCACACCCCAGCTCTTCCTCCCTTAGGCCCTGAACACTGTTATCTGGCCACACGGGGGAGGGGAGGGGGTTGCTCTCTGCTTTTCACAAGGCCTCAGAAGTGTCTGAGGCTGCAGCATCCTTACCTATAGGTCGCCACCTCCAGGCTGAGGCTGGTCTTCACCTGCAGAAGTTCTTGATAGTCCCTTAATCGATCAGCCATGGCCAAGGTGAGGGCTTCCTTCTCCTCCTCCAGACAGTCAATCACCCTCTAGAGAGAACAGAAGGGCTTTTATATCTGAGACCTGGATGGAAGACACCAAGAGCGGTCATCATGTGAAGATGATCTCAAAGACACAATCTCTTCCATCTGGAAGGTGGGTTGCATTACGCACGGAGGATTTTGGTAGGACCTGGCTTCTTCGTTGGGCCATTCTGATCATAACAGAGGCTGCGTTTATTCAGATTCACCTCTGTTTCAGACACTGGTTTGCTCAGAAAGCCAATATACCTAACCAGGCTATTAAAATACATCCAACTAGATGTGATGGGGAAAAAAATAAGCCATGAGTCACAACAGTGCCTGTCATCCCAGCTATTCAGGAGGAGGAGATAGGAAGACCCAAGTCCAAGATGGTGAAAAAACAACCTGGCAGGGAAAGGGCGGGGGAAGCTCAAGAGTGCTTGCTGGTCAGTGCACGCACTCTAACATGGCCCCTCCCACCTGGTCAGGCCCCTCATCTGGCTTGTTGCTCTCTCTGCATTCAGCCTCCGGTCCAATGATCTGCATAGCCAAGCAAATATGTCAACATTGCAGAAGTCCACAGGCTCTTTTGGGGGCGGGGGGGGGGTTGCCAGTCCTGGGGCTTGAACTCAGGGCCTAGGCACTGTCCCTGGGCTTCTTTTGCTCAAGGCTAGCACTCTACCACTTGAGCCACAGAGCCTCTTCTGGCCTTTTCTGTTTATGTGGTACTGAGAAATCGAACCCAGGGCTTCATGTATGCTAGGCAAGCACTGTACCACTAAGACATTCCCAGCCCTCCAGATGCTTTTTGTTTCTACACCCATGTTGGGGCTTCAACTCAGGGCCTGGGAGGTATGCCTTAAATTTTTCTGCTCAAGACTGGTGCTTTACCACATGAGCCACAGCTCCACTTGTGGCTTTTGTTAGTTAATTGGAGATAGGAATCTCACAGCCTTTTCTACTCAGGCTGGCTTCAAACTTCAATCCTCAAATCTTACAGGTGTGAGCCACCAGGGCTCCTCTCTAGTCCATAAACTTTTGTAAGGGGAACATAGTTAACTAAGCCACACTTATGAATGCTTACCTTTGTAGAATTTTAAAACTATAGGTCTAAGAGGAAAGGAATATATTTTTCAATGCTGCTGGAACTCCATCACTACTATTGGGCTCCCAGTAAGATACAAAGAGACCATAATAAATACAGAATGCCAGAAATCAATGAACGAACTCACGCTGGATCTTACAACTGGGTTGATTGGTCATTTTTAAAAAAACTGCATGACAAATGCAAATAGTTTGCATTCAAGGACACTTCCATCTCTAAGCCAACAATTATTCAAAGTTCTCATTAAACATAAAGAGTGTTAAGAATAAGCCAGACACTGGTGATTCACACCTGTAATCCTAGCTTCTCAGGAGGCTGAGATTTGAGGATTGCTGTTCAAAGCCAGCCAGGGAAGGGAAGTGTGTGAGACTCTCATCTCTAAGTAACCACCAGAAAACTGGAAGTAGCGTTGTGGCTCAAAGTGGTAGAGTGCTACCTTTGAGTGGAAAAGGCTCCAGGGACAGAGCTCATGACTGATGAAAGAAAAAAGAGTGCTAAAAATAAATGAATAAACAAATATAAGCAAAACTCACTTAGCTTTTAAGACCAAGGCATAAATTTACAGATGACTGGCTAATGTCCCAGGTCCCTTTACGTAAAACAAACCCCAAACACTGACCGAATCTGCAGATAAGTGGTTGTCCGAAGCCAGCCTCTTGCCAGCCCTTACTTTCAGCAAGAAGCCAGGACATTCACATCTTTTCTATAGTTAAGCATCACTATTAAAACTCTGTTTCCCTGTTTCAGAGGCAAATACATACTCAAATACAAGGTTAGAATATGAAATGTGCTATAAATGAGTGTGTGTCCTTTCTAACATAGGAAGTTTAATGCCTAAGCACTAATATTTGAGAACCTGTCATTTCTTCCCCCTCCTCGCATAGTCAGATGAACTCAGTTCCTCACCCGCAAATCTTCCCAGACAGTCCACGGGGGTTGCTCCAGTGGGGCCTCTCTCCACCCAGGGACACACAATAGGTCTGGATTGTCAGTAAATATGAAGGGGGATGTGGGCCTTAAAAATAATTACAGTTCAAGTCCTATCAACATGGGAGTCAGAGCTCCCCACACTTGGCGGGAAATCTGTTGGCTTTGGGAGGCAGGAACATAGGAACTGGGAGCTTCTTGGCAATCCCCCTGAGGGAAGGAAGCCTTGAACTTGGGCTCCGCTTTGCCAGAAGTTTGTAAACTGTGGGCCAAGCCAGAAGTGTTGCAGCCTCAGATACCAGGTGCTAATCCCAACCAAAAGGTTGTACCTAATGCTGTCAAAACCTGGGAAAGAAGGAGGACTCTGGGGGCAGGGATGAGATCCAACTCTTCCAGGAAAAGTGTGCTGCTGTTAGTGGCAAAGGAATGAACTTTCTCCTCACCCCACTTGAGCTTCACCTTGTAAAGCTCACGCCTGTAATCCTAGCTACTCAGGAGGCTGAGATCTGAGGATTATACTTCCCAAGTCAAACTGGGCAGCAAAGCCCATGAGACTCCAACCAAGCAGCAAAAAGCCCAAAGTGGAACTGTAGCTCAAGGGTCAGAGCATCTGCCTTGTGTGAAAAAGCTAAGGAAAAGCACCCAGGCCCTGAGTTCAAACCCCAGTAGTGATCTCCCCAAAACCAAACAACAACAACAAAACACCCAGAATAAATGTAGACTCTTATGAGTATCTTGTTTCAGAGTCACAAAAGTGATTAAGAGCTTAACCTGCCTGGTGACAGAGTCAAGAGTTCAGGTCCCAGTAGGAAACTTAACCACGTGGCTAGTCCCATACCCCTTCCAATCAAAAGGAAGTTTTCCTTTACACAAATAGTCATCCTAGTGGCTAAGTCCTCACTCCCACGAGAAGAACCTCCATGTTTCCCCAGAAAGGCTGGCATAAATTACAAATGTCATCGAGGATTCTGTGCTCCGTTCCCGGCATGCTCCTCAGGCTTCGCCTGACCCAAGCCATATTAAGTACTGCGAACTTGTGAGTCTGTTCAGCAAACTCTGCTCTGGCAAACCTGGGGCACAGGCCAGCAAACGACACTGCCCACAGACTAGGCACACAGGACATGCAAAGGACCTCTCTTCCCAGGGTTCCTGGGGAAATTCTTTCCCTCACAAACTATGCAGGGGACCGACGGACCACGAGAAACTGTAATTGTGTTCTGCTGCCTCTGCTGCACTGCTCCTGTGCCAGGAGTGGAGGGGTGTGTGTGTGTGTGTGTGTGTGTGTTTGGAAGTTAATGTCCCATTAAACCACATGGAACAGCCAGGTGCCACATGGAACAAGCCAGGTGCTGGTGACTCACGCCTGTAATTCTAGCTACTTTTCAGGAGGCTGAAGTCTGAGGATCACAGTTTGAAGCCAGCCTGGGCTTGAAAGTCTGAGAGACATGTATCTCCAATTAACCACCAAAAGCCAGATGAAAAGCTGTGGCTCAGGTGGTAGAGTGCCAGCCTTGAGAGGAAAAAGCTAAGGGACAGCATCCAGGCCATAAGTTCAAGCCCCTATACTGGTCCAAAAAAGACAAAACACTTTCTGAAATTGTGTTCCTGTTATTTGAAACGATGTTCCTGAGAAACAGTGATAGTGTGACTTGGGAATATTTCCAAACCCAGCTGAGGCAGGCCAGGGCAGGAGCCAGACACTTGGACTATACGGGTGTGCGGACAATAAATCAGCTACAGGTGTCGCCAGGGGATGTCAGAAGGTTAGGGCTGGGCCATTTTGGAATGACAACTGTGTATATTCCTCTGCACTTGTAATAACATCCCACAGGGACCTGCTTTCCCATCCTTTTAACATTGCCCAGAGAGCTGATGTCAGCTCATGCTGTGAGCAAAAAAGCTAGGCCCTGGTTGCTGCCCTCCTCCCCCCCCCCCCCCCGAAAACACAAACCAATAAAAAAACAAACAGCCACACCGGGAGCCGCAGCCAGCTGTCTGCAGCCAGGAAATGACTCTGGCAAAACAAAAACAAAGAAAAAAACCCCACACAAGAAACAAGGAAACAAACAAAAGCCCGCACTACTTGCCTAGCAAGCACCAGACCCAAGTACTGCATGGAAATAAATTTAATAAAATACCGTTGGGGGAAACCTATTTAAGATCGGGCACCATCTAGGTAAGAAATGTCTTTGCCACTTTGGGAAGTCAGAGAACTTTCTTATTTCACTTTAGGGGCCAAATCTATAGAACACAGGAAGCCGAAGGAACCCAGAACTAACAAGATCGTGTGCCAGGATGTGCCCAGTCCTGCCAAGATCTAACGAGATGCTGAGGACTGTCCCCATGCATGTCACTGGGAGCGGAGGACCACACTTTTCTTCAGGGAGATGCCAGGGCCCTGTGGTCCCGAGATAAAGCAGCTCTCTGCACCCAGGGCTCTAAGTCATTCCAGAACCCTTCAGGCCTGGGTCTCCCAACCGCCCCGATCGTATGCGGCGGGGGCTGGGCCTGGGTGACCCGGGAGGGCTCGAGGTTCCCAGACACCCACCTGCCGCTCCTCCGCCTGCAGCCCGCACTCCTCGCTCATGCGCAGGAGCTCGTCCTCCAGCTGCGCGCGCAGCCGCTCCAGCTCCAGCGCCTCGGCCCGCAGCGCGTCCGCCTCCTGCGCGCACAGCCGCGCCTCGGCCT